CGCTAGAATTTTGGCATAGATCTATGGTTTGGACCCTGAACGTAAAGCTGTAGCTCTATGGGATGGAACCTGAATGGGTTAATTTCAATGAGGAAAATTGATTTGATATACATACGAGCAAATTGAGTTATGAGCTGGGTCATGGAATGAATTAAACTTGTAAGTCAAAGTACCCCTGTACCTTGAAACTGAGCTCAAAGTATCAGAAATGTTTGACTTTTGTCGACGTTCAAGAGTAAACAAATCACATCACATGTCCAATACACGTCAACTGCTGGATCTAATATTCTTTCACAGATGGGCTGATATTATTTATACCATTTTTGTAATAACGCAGTAGTCTACAAAACAGTAAATCTTCTATTTTTTTGTGAGTAAAAATTCGAAATGGAAAGCAAGCGTAATGTAAGAGGGGCCTGGAGATGAGAGACTAATGAACAGAGAAAATGTTACTTTAGTGCTAGAAATATTTGCATTGTTAATTCTGGACCCTATTTTAAAATTGGCCTTGAATTGTGTAAGAAATTGTCCAAATTACCAAATACAGTGGACCCCCGCATAGCGACTTTAATCCGTGCAAGAGGGCTCATTGTTATGCGAAATGATCGGTATGCGAATGAATTTTCCCCATAAGAAATAATGGAAATCAAATTAATCCATGCAAGACACCCAAAAGTATGAACAAAAAAATTTTACCACATGAAATATACATTTTCCTACACACAAAGAGAAGGATACATGCACAATAGTAGAGTAGTACATGCACAATATATATTGTGCATGTACAGTGGACCCCCGCATAGCGACCTTAATCCGTGCAAGAGGGCTGGCTGTTATGCGAAATGTTCGGTATGCGAATGAATTTTCCCCATGAGAAATAATGGAAATCAAATTAATCCGTGCAAGACACCCAAAAGTATGAAAAAAAAATTTTTACCACATGAAATATACATTTTCCTACACACAAAGAGAAGGATACATGCACAATAGTTGAGTAGTACATGCACAATATATATTGTGCATGTACTACTCTACTAAATGAAGAATAAATGACACTTACCTTTATTGAAGATGCAGCAATGACTGATGAGACACTGTGTCCTGGGAGTGCCTTTTCCTCCTGAGTACTGTAGGTCCTGTTTGGTATTTTCTTCCAGAACAGGCATTATCACACTGTGTATGCCACTACGATTCTTAAATCTCTCAAACCAACCTTTGCTGGCTCTAAATTCACCAATATGAGCACTAGTTCCAGGCATTTTCCCTGTTCACCTGGGTGTTAGTCGACTGGTGTGGGTTGCATCCTGGGAGACAAGATTAAGGACCCCAATGGAAATAAGTTCGACAGTCTTCGATGACGCTGACTTTTTTGGGTTATCCTGGGTGGCAAATCCTCTGGGGTTAATTGTTTCTTGGTATTCTCAATAAGCCACACCAACAACGGTGGTACAGCAGCAACAGACGATGCTACAGCAGCAACAGACGATGCTACAGCAGCAGCAGACGATGCTACAGCAGCAACTGATGATGTTACAGCAGCAGCAGACGATGCTACAGCAGCAGCAGCAGCAGACGATGCTACAGCAGCAGCAGCAGCTGACGGTGGTACAGCAGCAACAGACGATGCTACAGCAGCAGCAGACGATGCTACAGCAGCAGCAGACGATGCTACAGCAGCAGCAGACGATGCTACAGCAGCAGCAGACGATGCTACAGCAGCAGCAGCAGCTGTACCACCAATAGTAGCGATGGTTGATTGGGGTTTATTATACAACCTGGCCAGCTCGGAGACATGCACTCCACTTTCATACTTATCAATGATCTTTTTCTTCATCTCCATAGTAATTCTCACCCTTATTGCTGTAGGGTTGGCACTAGAAGCTTTCTTGGGGCCCATGGTCACTTATTTTCCAGAAAAAATCACCAAAAACACTGTAATAATACGAAATGTTCCGATTGTATGCTTGGATGTTACCGCGGAGGCTGGCTGGTAAACAATGCCACCGGCGGAACATGTGAGCGTGGCTCAGGCCGCACATTGGACGCGTCTCGGACGAAGGGCGGTGAGCGGGTTTTTGGGCGGTATGTGAGGCAAAATTTTTGCGATCAAAGCGTCCGGTATGCGGATTGTACGGTATGCGATACGTCCGGTATGCGGGGGTCCACTGTACTACTCTACTAAATGAAAAATAAATGACACTTACCTTTATTGAAGATGCAGCAATGACTTATGAGACACTGTGTCCTGGGAGTGCCTTTTCCTCCTGAGTACTGTAGGTCCTGTTTGGCATTTTCTTCCAGAACAGGCCTTATCACACTGTGTATGCCACTACGATTCTTAAATCTCTCAAACCAACCTTTGCTGGCTTTAAATTCACCAATATGAGCACTAGTTCCAGGCATTTTTCCCTGTTCACCTGGGTGTTAGTCGACTGGTGTGGGTTGCATCCTGGGAGACAAGATTAAGGACCCCAATGGAAATAAGTTAGACAGTCTTTCGATGACACTGACTTTTTTGGGTTATCCTGGGTGGCAAATCCTCTGGGGTTAATTGTTTCTTGGTATTCTCAATAAGCCACACCAACAATGGTGCTACAGCAGCAGCAGCAGCAGCTGACAGTGCTACAGCAGCAGCAGCAGCTGACAGTGCTTCAGCAGCAGCAGACGATGCTACAGCAGCAGCAGACGGTACTACAGCAGCAGCTGACGGTGGTACAGCAGCAGCAGCAGCTGACAGTGCAGCAGCAGCAGCAGCAGCTGACAGTGCTACAGCAGCAGCAGATGATGCTACAGCAGCAGCAGACGGTACTACAGCAGCAGCTGACGGTACAGCAGCAGCAGCAGCAGCTGACAGTGCAGCAGCAGCAGCAGCAGCTGACGGTGGTACAGCAGCAGCAGCAGCTGTACCACCAATAGTAGCGATGGTTGATTGGGGTTTATTATACAACCTGGCCAGCTCGGAGACACGCATTCCACTTTCATACTTATCAATGATCTTTTTCTTCATCTCTATAGTAATTCTCACCCTTATTGCTGTAGGGTTGGCACTAGAAGCTTTCTTGGGGCCCATGGTCACTTATTTTGCAGATAAAATCACCAAAAACACTGTAATAATACGAAATGTTCCGATTGTATGCTTGGATGTTACCGCGGAGGCTGGCTGGTAAACAATGCCACCGGTGGCACATGTGAGGCTGGCTAAGGGCGCACATTGGACGCGTCTCGGACGAAGAGCGGTGAGCGGGTTTTTGAGTGGTATGCGAGGCAAAATTTTTGCGATAAAAGCGAGCGGTATGTGGATTGAACGTTATGTGATGCGTACGGTATGCGGGGGTCCACTGTACAGTGGACCCCCGGTTTACGATCAGCTCCCAATGCAAACAATTATGTAAGTGTATTTATGTAAGTGTGTTTGTATGTGTATGTTTGGGGGTCTGAAATGGACTAATCTAATTCACAATATTCCTTATGGGAACAAATTCGGTCAGTACTGGCACCTGAACATACTTCTGGAATGAAATAATATCGTAAACCGGGGGTCCACTGTACTGATCATTTTATTGGGTAGTTGAAATCGGTAAATGGACGGTTTCTTGTACTCATTCGATAGAACAAAAGAGTTCTAGCAAAATATCTATGAGTTTCATCGACTGGAACAATGGAATTGTCTGAAAATAGGGCTCAAAGTGGGCAAAATCACTGATGTGTAAATATCATCGAGACCACTAACTTTGTGAGAGTGTAATTCTGTAAGTTTTCCATCAAATTTTGTACTTTTGGTGTCATTACCATTGGGAAAAGATTATCATTTCATAAGAAATTTTTTTCTTTTCTTTTTTTTTTTAAATTCTTCGACACTGAGAGCAAGCTTGTGAGCAGGGGTCTAAACAGTGAAAGGGTTGAAGGAGAAGTTTGGGATGTTGGATGTTAGGAGCAATGTCCAAAGTGTTGTATCTGAACTCCTCTGCAAAGACAGTGATTACATATGGATGATGGTGAAAGTGCTCAACAATGATGGTTTTTTCTTTCTTTTTGGGTCTTTCTTATTTTTGGTTCACCCTGCCTCGGTAGGAAACAGCCAATGTGTTAAAAAAAAAATCTGAATGTATTAAATTTGGTTGTGGACTGTATATACATGTATTACTGAAAATTTTCTTTGCTTGAGAACTCTAAAGTAATTTGTGTGTCCATGGTTTAAATTGATTATACACACCATTTTCTTATTGCATAAATAAATGATTGTTTATAAATGCAGACCATAAGAATTACTTACCAAGTTATTATCTTGGTGATATATCCTAATGCCTTCCTAGCAGGCAGGTATGCTAAGTATTGGCCAACACTAGATACCTTACCTATTTGTTGAGTTGATACCATATATAAGGAAGCAAAACTAAATTATTGTAGGTGCACGCGATGATCAAAATATTGTCCAGTCACCATGTCTAGTATTATCTTTATTATGACTAGCTTACTGTGTATCTGAACCCTTTAAGATACCCGTTATATTCACTTATTTCATGGTTCCCAATTATTGCCGATACACTCTTCATCATCTTCATTTACCCACAATTAAATTCTGCAATACGTACTTCCAGGTTAATGTATATGTTCTGCCATTTTTGTTGCTCTCCTCCAACATTTTGTCTACCAGTACACCTTTTTAATTAATTTTATAACACTTCCAAGTGTGTACTACATTTTCATTATTGAAATATTAATTTCCTCTAAATTACAATAATCTCCACATATTCAACTCCTTACAGAATATAAGAAAATAATAGAGAATATTAGTTCTCATGTCACAGAACATCTTTTAAAAGTTACTGAAGATACACATCTACACATTTTCAGAAAAACATTATCCCGATCAGTTCTTACACACTACAGGAAAATTATAAAAAAAAATCCACATGTATCATACCTGTACATAATAATTTATTCTACCCATTGATGATTATTGAGTATTTGCTAGTGATAATTATAATAATCTTCCTCAGGTTGGTTGAACGGTCTCACCCGGCAGTGCCTAGGCTGCATTTCACCCCTGATGTCTCCCCCAGGTACGAGCCTTCTCTTGTTCAGAATACAACAATTTAAATTTGAAGCCTACCAGAGAAAGCATTCCCTAGCTCACACACATTAATAAAACTACCCAATGATGCATTTATTTCTTTGCTAAAAGAGAGTGATGGAATGATGGTTGATTGGTCATTTTCCACCTGCTTAGTTTCAGAACTGGAAATAGAGAATGCCTCTTCAGATCAGGCTGAAATTTACATTGCTTGTTTGACTTGCTTAAGAGGAACAATCATATCATTAATTAGTTGTTTATGTGTTTATTTGTTTGTTTTATTAAGGAAAATATTGCTGGAGTTCAAATGTGATTGCTAGAGAATGCATATTCAGATTGAGTTGAAACTGCTTGTTTGACTACTTAAATTAATTAGCGTGTTCTTAGTTAGTTTTTTATTTGGTAATTTGTTAGTTGTATTAAAATAGCACTTGGGTTTAAATGTGATTAGTTGAGAATGCATCTTCAGATTGGATTGAAACTTGCACTGCTTGTTTGACTTGCTCAGAGGAACGATTATGTTATTAATTAGTTGTGTGCATGCTAATTTGTTAGTTTTATTAAGAAAAATATGATTGGGTTTAAATGTGATTGTTAGACAATGTATCTTTAGATCAGGTTGAAACTGGTGTAGCTTAGTTATTAGAAGGTTTTTAAAATTTTTGCCTGTTTACAATTTAATTTGTGAAAATAATGCAGTAATTTACCTCTTTCATTGTTCAGAACTTCAAAATTAATATTGCTCTCAGTGTCCACTTAACCGGTTACTCTGAGTGTCAGGACACCTGCTCACAAATTTGCTCCCAGGGTCGAAGAATTTAAAAAAAAAAAACTTATAAAATGATAGAGAATCTTTTTCCAAAGGCAATGAAACCAAAAATATGAAATTTTATAGAAAACTTATGGAATTACGCTTTCGCAAAGTTGGCGATTTTGGCAATTTCACCCACTTTGAGCCCTATTTTGGGCCAGTTCCACTGTTACAGTCAACGAAGCTCATAGCTGTTTTGCTAGTACTATTTTTATTCTATCGATTGAGTACAAGGAACTGCCCATTTACCTATTTCAACTACCCAATAAAGTGATCTGAAATTACTAATTTTGCCAATGTCACACAAAATTCAAGAAAGGGCAATTTTGAAATAGGGTTCAGAATAAATAATGCAGACTTTCCTGGCACTAAAATAACATTTTCTCTGTTATTAGTCACATCTCCAGGCCTCTCTTATATTACATTTGCTTATCATTCTGAATTTTTATTCACACAAAATATAGAAGATTTACTGTTATGCAGGCTACTGCATTATTATAATAATTGTATAAATAATATCAGGACATTTGTGAATGCATATTACACCCACCAGTTGATGTGTATTGATGCATGACATGATACATTTACTCTTGAACATTGGCAAAAATCAAACATTTCGACTATTTTGAGCTCAATTTCAAAGTACTTTAAGTCTGTAAACCATTCAAAATCATCTCTATTTTTGTAATTCATCTTTCATTCTATCAAATGAGACCAAGAAAATGAGAATACAACCATAAAAATTATTTTTATTTTATTAACACATTGGCCATTTCCCACCAAGGCAGGGTGGCTTGGAAAAGAAAAACTTTCATGATCATTCACTCTATCACTGTCTTGCCAGAGGCATGCTTACACTACAGCTATAAAACTGCAACACTAATATCCCCTCCTTCAGGGTGTTGGCACTGTAATTCCCACCTCCAGGAATCAAGTCCAGTCTGCCGGTTTCCCTGAATCCCTTCACAAATGTTACCTTGCTTACACTCCAACAGCACATCAAGTCCTAAAAACCATTTGTCTCCATTTGCTCCTATCTAACATGCTCATGCATGCTTGCTGGAAGTCCAAAACCTTCTTTACCCACTCCCTCCAACATTTCCTAGGCCGACCCCTACCCCACCTTCCCTCCATTACAGATTTATACACTCTCAAAGTCATTCTATTTCATTCCATCCTCTGTACATGTCCAAACCATCTCAATAACCCCTCCTCAGCTCTCTGGATAATAATTTTGGTAATCCAGCACCTCCTCCTAATCTCCAAACTATAAATTCTTCATTATATTCACACCACACATTGCCCTCAGACATGACATCTCTACTGCCTCCAGCCTTCTCCTTGTTGCAACATTCGCCACCCATGCCTCACACCCATACAAGAGCGTTGGTATAACTAAACTCTCATACATTCCCTCTTTGCTTTCATGGACAAAGTTCTTTGTCTCCACAGACTCCTCAGTGCTTGGCTCACCTTTTTCCCCTCATCGATTCTATGATTCGCCTTCCAAATATCTGAATACATTCACCTCCATACTCTCTCCCTCCAGTCTGATATTTAATCTTCCGTTACCTAAATTTTTGGTTATCCTCATCGCCTTACTCTTTCCTACATTCACTTTTAACCCTTTCAGGGTCCGTCCCGTAGATCTACGGCTTTACGGTGAGTGTCCAAACCGTAGATCTACGCCATGAGCTCAGCTCACTCTGATAAACTGTGAGTGGTACATTTGGGCCTAGATATGAGAGAATACATCTATGTGGTATGTGTGCACCACATAAAACAGATCCTGCAGCACACTGTGTATAATGAGAGAAAAAACTGAAATCATGATTTTTCGATTAAAACAGCAACTTTGCAGTGTTTTTTCGTATGTTTTTTATAGTTGTATTTGCGATTTCTTGGTCTCATTTGATAGAATGGAGGACATATTACAGAAATAGAGATGATTTTGATTGGTTTTAACACTGGAAATGGCTTGAAACTGAGCTCAAAGTAGCGGAAATGTTAAATTTTTGCCTATATTCAAGAGTAAACAAACGACCTCACACATCTAATACACGTCAGCTGGTGGGTCTAATATACATTCACAAATATGGTGATGATATTTATACAATTATTACAGTATTGCATACAGTAAATCTTCTATTTTTTGGTGTGAATAAAAATTCATTATGTGAATAAAAATCAAAATGGAATTTATTTGTAAAGCCTCAAAACATAACTAATGAACAGAGGAAATGTTAGTTTAGTGCCAGGAATGCCTACATTGTTTATTCTGGACCCTATTTTGAAATTGGAATATTTTGAACTTTGTGTTAAATTGGCCAAATTAACAATTTCCGATCACTTTATTTTGTAGTTGAAACAGTTGACTTGGCGATTTCTTGTGCTCAATCGATAGAATAGAAGTAATACTAGTGAAATAGCTAAGAATTTGGTTGATTGGAATAATGTAATTGGCCTAAAATGGGAGTCAAAGTCGGCAAAATCGCCGATTCGTAAATATCGCTGACACATCAAAATTCGCGAGAGCATAATTTCGTCAATTTTCCACCAAATTTCGTACTTTTTGTTTTATTACTTTCACAAAAAGATTCTCTACGATTTCATAAGAAAAAATAACAAATTTTTTTTTTGAAAATTCTTGGACACTGGTGCGTGACTCCAGATTTGGGCCTTGGACCCTGAAAGGGTTAATTTCCTTCTTTTACATACCCTACCAAACTCATCAACCAACCTCTGCAACTTCTCTTCAGAATCTCCCAAAAGCACAGTGTCATCAGCAAAGAGCAACTGTGACAACTCCAACTTTGTGTTAGATTCTTTATCTTTTAACCCCACACCTCTTGCCAACACCCGAACATTCATTTCTCTTACAACTTTGTCTATAAATATTTTAACGACCATGGTGACATCACACATCACTGTCTAAGGCCTACTTTTACTGGGAAATAATCTCCCTCTCGCCTGCATACTCTAACCTGAGCCTCACTATCCGTGTAAAGGTTCTTCACTGCTTTCAATAACCTACCATACATTTGCAACATCTGCCACATTGCCCCCCTATTATCCCCTATCATACGCCTTTTCCAAATCCATAAATGCCACAAAAAAACAAATGAAAATACAGTGGACCCTCGACTAATGCTATTAATCTGTTCGTAAGAGCTGATCGTTAGTCAAAATTATCGTTAGTCAAGTTAATTTTCCCCATAAGAAGTAATGGAAATCAAATTAATCCGTGTAGGACACCCCAAAGTATGAAAAAAAAATTGTTTTTACCACATGAAATATTAATTTTAATACACACAAACTGAAGAAGACATGCACAGTTACATGACACTTACCTTTATTGAAGATCAGGTGATGATTGATGGGATGGGAGGAGGGGAGAGTGTTGATGGTCTTAGTGTTTAGAAGGGGAATCCCCTTCCATTAGGACTTGAGGTGGCAAGTCCTTTTCCGGGGTTACTTCCCTTCCCTTTAAATCTCTCAAACCAACCTTTGCTGGCTTTAAATTCACTCACATCACCACTAGTTGCTGGCATTTTTTTAATTAAATCGTCATGCAACTTCCTAGCCTTTTCACATATGATCACTTGAGAGATGCTATCTCCTGCTATCTGTTTTTCGTTTATCCACACCAATAACAGTCTCTCAACATCTTCGAGTACTTGCAATCTCAGTTTCGAAAACATAGTTGCACCTTTGGCAAGAACAGCTTCCTTGATTGCCGTTTTCTTGCCCACAGTAGTACCGATGGTTGATTGGGGTTTTGTGTACAACCTGGCCAGCTCGGAGACACGCACTCCACTTTCATACTTAGCAATGATCTCTTTCTTCATATCCATAGTAATTCTCACCCTTTTTGCTGTAGGGTTGGCACTAGAAGCTTTCTTGGGGCCCATGGTGACTTATTTTGCAGGTGCAATCACTAAAAAGGCTGTGATATTATGAAATGTTCCGATTGTATGCTTGGAAGCGACCGCGGTGGCTGGCTGGCTTGTAAACACTGGCCAGAAGTGGACGCGTCTCAGACAGAACGAATAGTGTTGTTTGAGTTTTTTAGCGCTAGTCGAGGCAAAATTTTTGCGTTAAAATGCATCGCTAGTCGGATTTATCGTTAATCGATGCCATCGTTGGTCGAGGGTCCACTGTACGCCACAAAGTTGCTG